ACCACGATTTTTAGTCTTCTACCCGTGTATTCAATAACATCACGCGGCCAGTCGTCCGACGAGATTAAATACAGCTGCAACCTTTTTTATTAACTTTTCAACCAAAGTAATGTTATGTATATGTCACAGTCAGATCGATGTGCTCGCCAGCCTTCAATATGCCGTGGGATTGTGAAAGTCGCATCATTTTCTCCTAAAATAATGAAGAGACAAAATCATCCATCATTCTGCAGTTGAAATCCCCCACCTTAGTTTTTATACACCAGGCTACCGTGAACGAGTCTTTGTTGGTAATTGTAAAATCTCCATAGCATGGTTTTTTGTAACCATTGGGCGAATTAAAAAGAAGCCATCTGCAGATTTGTCATTTTTGCTCCCTATTTCAAGGAAATAGCTTAGATCCTTAGAAATACCGAGGGTTACACAACAATTCCCCATCCGGAGTTTCTCCAACTACACGATTTTTCAAAAGTTCTTGATAGGTCTCTATACTGGCTATTATAGGCTCTGATCCACCTGCACTTCGCGATGTTGGTACAAGTGGCGAAAGAGTGCCTCGTATACTTCCTGGAGCTGCTTCTTTGCTGCTGAAAAGCCTTTCATGAATTGGAACGCGAAATGACTACAAGGTTAACGTAACTGGTTGGTTTTGCTGCGCTTTTCAACTTGCATTTGAAGGTGCTCTGCCGAATGGTGAAGAGAAAGAAATGAAACGAACTTTAGCATTCAGTCCACATCATCTGTTGTTTTGGCGAGTGGGCTTTGCCTGAATCCTCATTATATGAGCTCGCAGTGATGAGTCGGTTCCCCCTTTTCAACCTTTATGTAAGCCTTGTTACTATATTTGGTGGTGAATTTACAATCTTATTTCCCAGTAATTAATGGGTGTTTCGTAGCCAGACTTTGACTCTGAAATTTTGCTTCTATAGTTAAAGACTTGAGCTCAAAAAGAAAGGTTAATAGTTAAATGGCTATTTAAAGCAAGGAAGAATTTCTGCTAGGGCTTTGAAGTTCAAGTTTTTGAAGGACATAAGTTTAAGATGATGTCGAAACCATGGTTTTTAGATTGAAATGAAAGAAGAAGGAACCAGAAGCAACTTATGGTTGTGAAAATCATCTTAACTGCTAACGCAGCCCTTGTTCCATCATTCTCCTATATATTCGCTGACTGGAAAAAGGCTAGCCACTTTTCAACTTCCAAGTTGTTATTAGAAAAGCTAATCACCTCCTAATTTTGTGAGATTTTAATACAACATTCATTTCAAGACATTGAGACATTTATCGCATGTAAGAAGTCCTTTCATAGTATACAAACAATATTGAGAACGATTAGCCAAAATAATTGTTACATCACCCTCAAGATGTGCTGTCGCTACAGCCTTCAATTGGAACATTTTTCACTCGGGCTGATTTGATGGCAGCGAATCGGTTTTCGTGTTTTGAGCAACTTCCAGCAAATTGTGTTCGTTGTATGATGAATGGTTCTGCTTTACCAGATAATGGTATTCGGTTCAGATGCTAAATAAAGGAGTACAAATTCTTGATGCTCAAGTTATTGTTGTTATTCTCACCTGCTCATCTAGACTGCCATCCCGGCAGATGCTCAGTCGACTTTGAAATAGAGCAGCAAATCCTGTCATGAATGCATCGACACCAGCACGATGGCAACCCACAAGAAATTTGTCATCAACACTAACTTGTTCTTATCATTCAATTCTGCAAATCTTACCAGTTATTGCTAGTTTCGGTTTGTCCTTTTTCACGTCTTCGACAGAAACCCGTTCTCTTCGCGATTCTTTCTCTTCCTCTTCTAATCTCTCCTTTTCAAGCATACTCTCAGGTTTCAAATAATCAAATCTGCAAAAAAAAA